TGTGCTGACTGAGTGTTTGTGTGCTTGCTTTGCATGTATAGGTCTGAGTGTGCTGAGTGAGTGCTTGTCTGTTTGCTTTGCATGAGTGTGTTGTGTCGCTCTCTGTTTGCTTTGCATTAATGCTTCTGAGTGTGTTCAGTGAGTGTTTAGATGTTTCCTTTGCATGAATGCTTTTCTATAAGCGTGTTGAGTGAGTGCTTGAATGTTTGCTTTGTTTACATGAATGCTAGTGAGTGTGTCTGTTTGCTTGCATGGATGTTTCTGAGCGTGTTGAGTGACTGTTTGTGTGCTTGCTTTGCATGAATGCTTATGTGTGTCGAGTGAGTGTTTGAATGTTTGCTTAGTTTGCTTGAATGCTTCAGAGTGTGTTGAGTGAATCTTTGTCTGTTTGCTTTGCATGGATGCTTCTGAGTGTGTTGAGTGAGAGCTAGTGTGCTTGCTTTGCATAAATGCTGGTGAGTGTGTTGAGTGAGTGTTTGAATGTGTACGTTGCATGGATGCTTCTGAGTGTGCCGATTGAGTGTTTACTTTGCATTGATGCTTCTTTGCATGTATGCTTATGCGTTGAATGAGTGTTTGAATGTTTGTTTTGTATGAATGTTTCGGAGTGTGTTGAATGAGTGCTTGTGTTTGCTTTGAATGAATGCTTCTGATTGAATGACTATTTACATGAATGTTGTACTACATGAATGCTTGATTTGATTGTGTCGAGAGAGTGTTTGTGTGTTTAATTTGTTTTAGTTTGCTTTGCATGGATGCTTCTGAGGGTGTTGAGTGAATTTTTTTCCGTTTGCTTTGCACGAATGCTTCTGAGTATGTTGAGTGAGTGTAAGTGTGTTTGCTTTCCATGAATACTTCTGAACGTATTGAATGAGTGTTTCAATGTTTGCATGAATGCTTTCGAGTGTGTTGAATGAGTGCTTGCGCGTTTGCTTTGTATGAATGCTTCTGAGTGTGTTGAGTGAGTGTTTGTGTGTTTGTTTTCCATGATTGCTTCTAAGCGTGTTGAATGAGTGTTTTTGTGTTTGCTTTGCATGGATGCTTCTGAGTGTGCCGAGTGAGTGTTTGTCTGTTTGCTTTGTATGGATGCTTCTGAGTGTATCGAGTCTGCTTGCTATGCATGAAAGCTTCTGACTGTGTTGATTAAGTGTTTGTTTGCTTTGCATGAATGCTTCTGAGTGCATTGAGTGAGTGTTTGTCTGTTTGCTCTGCATAAATGCTTGAGTGTGTTGAGTGAGTGTATGTTTGCATGAATGTTTCTGAGTGTGTTGAGTGAGTGTCTGTGTGTTTGCTTTGTATAAATGCTTCTAAATGTGTTGAGTGTTTGTATGCTTTGCATGAATGCTACTGAGGGTGTTGAGTGAGTGTCTGAATGTTTGCTTCGCATGAATGCTACTGAGGGTGTTGAGTGAGTGTCTGAATGTTTGCTTCGCATGAATGCTACTGAGGGTGTTGAGTGAGTGTCTGAATGTTTGCTTTGCATGAATGCTACTGAGGGTGTTGAGTGAGTGAATGTTTGCTTTCCATGAAGTGTAGTGTATATGTGTTTGCCTTGCATACATTCTTATGAGTGTCTTAAGTGAGTGTTTGATTTTTGCTTTGCATGAATGCTTCTGAGTGTGCTTGCTTTTCATGTTTCTGATTGTGTTGAGTTTGTGTTTGAGCGTTTGGTTTGCATGAATGCTTCGGAGTGTGTTGAGTGAGTATTTGCATGAGTGTTGTACTGCATGAATGTTTTGTGTTTGTTTAAAGGTTATTTCTCTGTTTGCATTGCACAGATGCTCCTGCATGTGTTGCATGACTGAATGTTGAGTGAGTGTCTGAATGTTTGCTTTGCATGAATGCTACTGAGGGTGTTGAGTGAGTGTCTGAATGTTTGCTTTGCATGAAGTGTAGTGTATATGTGTTTGCTTTGCATGCATTCTTATGAGTGTCTTAAGTGAGTGTTTGATGTTTGCTTTGCATGAATGCTTCTGAGTGTGCTTGCTTTTCATGTTTCTGATTGTGTTGAGTTTGTGTTTGAGCGTTTGGTTTGCATGAATGCTTCTGAGTGTTGAGTGAGTATTTGCATGAGTGTTGTACTGCATGAATGTTTTGTGATTGCATGGATGTTTCTGAGTGTGTCGAGTGAGTATTTGAATGTGTACTTTGCATGGATGTTTCTGAGTGTTTCGAGAGAGTGTTTGAATGTATACTTTGCATGGATGCTTGTGATTGTGTCGAGTGAGAGTTTGAAAGCCTCCTTTGCATGAATGATTCTGAATGTTGGTTGTCTGTTTGTTTGCATGCATATTGGAATGAGTGTCTCTGTGTTTGGTTAAAGATTGTTTGTCTGTTTGCATTGTATAGATGCTCCTGTCTGTGTTGCATGACTGTGCCGACTGTCATAACCAAGCCACCGGGGAGTCGAGCAGACTGCTCCGGTGCCAGTGCCAAGCCTGGATAGATGGAGAGGTCTGGCAGCGAAATGGGACTGGATGTAAAGAGAAAGAAAAAGGCCGATGTTTGTTTTGCATAGATGCTTCTGAGTGTGTTGAGTGAGTGCTTGTGTGCTTGATTTGCATGAATGCTTGTGAGTGTGTCGAGTGAGTGTTTGTGTGTTTGCTTTGCATGTGAATGCTTGTGAGTGTGTCGAGTGAGTGTTTGTGTGTTTGCTTTGCATGAATGCTTCTGAGTGTGTCGAGTGAGTGTTTGTGTGTTTGCTTTGCATGAATGTTTATGAACGCACTGATTGAGTCTGTGTCTGTTTGCTTTGCATGAAAGCTTCTTACCGTGTTGAGTGAGTCTTTGTATCTTTCCTTTGCATGGATGCTTCTAAGTGTGTTGAATGAGTGCTTGTCTTTTTGCTTCGCATGAATGCCTATGAGTGTGTCGAGTGAGTGATTGTCTGTTGAGTGTATGTGTGTTTGCTTTGCATGAATGCTTCTAAGTATGTTGAGTGAATAAGTGTTTGTTTGCTTTGGAAGAATGCCTCTGAGTGTGTTGAGTGAGTGCTTGTGTGCTTCCTTTGCATGAATGCTTCTGCGTGTGTCGAGTGCTTGTTTGTGTGTTTGCTTTGCATGAATGCTTATAAGTGTTTCGAGTGAGTGTTTTAATGTTTGCTCTCTATGAATGCTTCTGAATGTGATGAGTGAGTGCTTGTGTGCTTCCTTTGCATGAATGCTTCTGTGTGTGTTGAGTGCTTGTTTGTGTGTTTGCTTTGCATAAATGCTTATAAGTGTGTCGAGTGAGTGCTTGTGTGCTTGATTTGCATGGATGCTTCCGAGTATGTTGAATTTGTGTGTCTGTTTGCTTTGTATGAATGCATCTGAGTGTGCTTGCCTGTTTTCTTTGCATGGATGCTCTTGAGTGTGTTGAGTGAGTGTTTGTCTGTTTGCTTTGAATGAATTCTTCTGAGTGTCTTAAATAAGTACTTGTCTGTTTGCTTTTCAAGAATGCTTTTGTGTGTTGAGTGAGTGCTTGTGTGTTTGCTGTACGTGAATGTTTATGAGTATGTCGAGTGATTGTTTGTGTGTTTGCTTTGCATGTATAGGTCTGAATGTGTTGAGTGAGTGCTTGTCTGTTTGCCTTGTATGAATGCTTCTGAATATGTCGAGTGAGTGTTTGTGTTTGCTTTGCATGGATGCTTCTGCGTGTTTTGAGTAAGTTTTTGTCTGTTTGCTTTGCACAGGTGCTCCTGTCTGTGTTGCATAACTGTGACGGCTGTCATAACCCAGCCACCGGGGAGTCGAACAGACTGCTCCGGTGCCAGTGCCAAGCCTGGATAGATGGAGAGGTCTGGCAGCGAAATAGATGTAAATAGAGAAAGAAAAAGGCCGATGTTTGCTTTGCATGGATGCTTCTGAGTGTGTTAATTGGATGTTTGAAAATGAGTATGTCAAATGAGTATTTGTGTGTTTCCTTTGCATGGAAGTTGTGTTGGATGAGTGTTTGAATGTGTATGAACGTTTTTGAGTGCGTTGAGTGAGTGTGTGAATGTTTTTTTGTATGGATCCTTCTGAGCGTGTTGAATGACTGTTTGAATGTAAGATTGGTATCGATGCTTCTGAGTGGGTTGCGTAAGTGTCTGAATGTGTGCATTATATGTATGCTTCTGAGTGTGTTGAGTGAGCGTTGAATGCGCGATTGCATGGATGCTTCTGAATGTGTTGAGTGAGTGCTTGAATTCGTACTTTGTTGAATGAGTATTTGAATGCGTGATTGCATGGATGTTTCTGAGTGTGTCGAGTGTGTTTGAATGTGTGCTTTGCATGGATGCTTCTGAGTGTGCTGAGTGAGTGTTTGAATGCGTGATTGCATGGATGTTTCTGAGTGTGTCGAGAGAGTGTTTGAATGTATACTTTGCATGGATGATTCTGAATGTTGTGTAGGACTTGTGTTGGTGCATACTGCGTCTATACCACATTTTTACATTGGCTGTCTGTTTGTTTACATGCATATTGGAATGATGTTTCTGTATGTCTGGATTTCCTCATGTCCAGTATACGAAAATGTTGCATATATATGTTTATCGTAAGAATGTTTGCATTATACGTGAGCGTGCGCTACGTTGATGTTTTCTTTATGTTTGTAATGAATGTGTTGAGTTAGTGTTTTGTGTGCGGCATGAGCGAATGCTTATTTGCGTGTTGGTTGAGTGTTGTGTCTGTTTGTTTTGTGCGAATGCTTCTGTGTGTGTTGAATGAGTTTTTCCATGAGTGTTGTACTGCATGCATGTACTCCAAGCCTGGATAGATGGAGAGGTCTGGCAGCGAAATGGGACTGGATGTAAAGAGAGAAAGAAAAAGGCCGATGTTTGCTTTGATCTGCGTGAATACTTCCGAGTATGTTGAAGTTGTGAGTGTCTGTTTACCTTATATGAATGCATCTGAGTGTACTGACTGAGTGCTTGCCTGTTTTCTTTGCATGGATGCCTTTGAGTGTGTTGAGTGAGAGTTTGTCTGTTTGCTTTGAATGAATTCTTCTGAGTGTGTTGAATAAGTACTTGTCTGTTTGCTTTGCATGAATGCTTCTGAGTGTGTTGAGTGAGTCTTTGTTTGCTTTTCAAGAATGCTTATGTGTGTTGAGTGAGTGCTTGTGTGTTTGCTTTACGTGGATGCTTAGGAGTATGTCGAGTGATTGTTTGTGTGTTTGCTTTGTATGAATGCTTCTGAGTGTGCTGACTGAGTGTTTGTGTGCTTGCTTTGCATGTATAGGTCTGAGTGTGTTACCTATACATGCAAAGCAAGCACACGAGTGCTTGTCTGTTTGCTTTGCATGAATGCTTCTGAATATGTCGAGTGAGTGTTTGTGTTTGCTTTGCATGAATGCTTCTGGGTGTGTTGTGTGTGTCGCTCTCTGTTTGCTTTGCACTGATGCTTCTGAGTGTGTCGAGTGAGTGTTTGTTTGCTTTTCAAGAATGCTTCTGAGTGTGTCGAGTGAGTGCTTGAAGGTTTGCCTTGTATGAATGCTTCTGAGTGTATTTGCTTTGCATGGATGCTTCTGCGTGTTTTGAGTAAGTTTTTGTCTGTTTGCTTTGCATGAATGCTTCGGAGTGTGTTGAATGACTATTTACATGGATGTTTTTTTTTAAGTTATTTGTCTGTTTGCATTGCACAGATGCTCCTGCCTGTGTTGCATGACTGTGCCGACTGCCATGACCCAGCCACCGGGGGAGTCGAGAAGACTGCTCCGGTGCCAGTGCCAAGCCTGGATAGATGGAGAGGTCTGGCAGCGAAATGGGACTGGATGTAAAGAGAGAAAGAAAAAGGCCGATGTTTGCTTTGCATGGACGCTTCTCAGTGTGTCGAGTGAGTACTTGTGTGCTTGAGTTGAGTGTCTGTTTGCTTTCCTTCAATGCTTCTGAGTGTGTTTAGTGAGTGTTTGTTTGCTTTGCATGAATGCTTCTGAGTGTGCTGAAAGAGTGTTTGTGTGTTTGCTTTTCATGAATACTTCTGCGTGTGTTGAATGAGTGTTTGTGTGTTTGCTTTACATTGATGCTTCTGAGTGCATTTGTTTGCTTTACATGAATGAGTGAGTATTTGTGTGTTTGCTTTGCATGAAAACTCCTTCATGAATGAGTGTTTATGTATTTACTGTGCATTAATGCCTTTGAGTGTATCGAGTGAGTGTTCGTGTGTTTGCTTCTGAGTGCGTTGAGTGAGTGTTTGTGTGCTTGCTTTACATGAATACTTCTAAGTGCGTTGAATCAATGTTTGTGTTTTTGCTTTGCATAAGTGTGTGTGTTGAGTGAGTATATGCTTCAGAGTGTGTTGAATGAATCTTTGTCTGTTTGCTTTGCATGGATGCTTCTGAGCGTATTTAGTGGGTCTTTGGTTGTTTGCTTTGCATAAATGCTGGTGAGTGTGTTGAGTGAGTGTTTGAATGTGCACTTTGCATGGATGCTTCTGAGTGTGCCGATTGAGTGTTTGTGTGCATTACATGAATACTTCTGAGTGTGCTGACTGAGTGTTTGCTTTGCATTGATGCTTCTTTGTATGAATGCTTATGTGTTGAATGAGTGTTTCAATGTTTGTTTTGCATGAATGTTTCTGATTGAATGACTATTTACATGAATGTTGTACCACATGAATGTTTGTTTAAAAGTTGTTTGTCTGTTTGCATTGCACAGACGCTCCTGTCTGTGTTGCACGACTGTGCCGACTGTCATAACCCAGCCACCGGGGAGTCGAGCAGACTGCTCCGGTGCCAGTGCCAAGCCTGGATAGATGGTGAGGTCTGGCAGTGACTGGATGTAAAGAGAGAAAGAAAAAGGCCGATGTTTGCTTTGCATGGATGCTTCTGAGTGTGTCGAGTGTGTTTGCTTTGCAAGAATGCTTCTGAGTGTGCTGACTGAGTGTTTTTGTACTTGCATGAATGCTTTTGAGTGTGTTGAGTGAGTGTTTGAATGTTTGTTTTGCATGAATGCTTCTGAGTATGTTCAGTGTGTGCTTGTGTGCTTGCTATGCATGAATGCTTCTGAGTGTATTGAGTGTTTCTATGCTTGTCATGAATGCTTTTAAGTGTTTTGAGTGTTTGTTTGCTTTGCATGAATGCTTCTGTGTGCTGATTGAGTGTTTGAATGTTTATCTTGCATGAATGCTCCTGAGTGAGTTTGTGTGTTTACTTTGTATCAATGTTTATGAGTGAGTGTATGTCTGTTTGCTTTGCATGAATGCTTCTGAGTGTGTTGAGAGATTGTTTTTGTGTTTGCTTTGCATTAATGCTTCTAAATGTGTCGAGTGAGTGTTTCTGTGATTGCTTTGCATGAATGTTTATTAGCGCATTGAGTGAGTCTTTGTTTGCTTTGTATGAATGCTTTTGATTGTGTCGAGAGAGTGTTTGTGTGTTTAATTTGTTTTAGTTTTAAAAATGAATGCTTCTGAGCGTAATGAGTGAGTCTTTGTTTGCTTTGTATGAATGCTTCTAAGTGTGTTGAATGAGTATTTGAATGTTTTCTTTGCATGAATGCTTTTGAGTGTGTTGAGTAAGTGTTTGTGTGTCTGCCTTGTATGGATACATGAGTGTGTTTAGTGAGTGTTTGTCTGTTTACTTTACATGAATGTTTTTGAGCGTGTTGAGTGAGTGCTTGAATGTTTGCTTTACATGAATGCTTCTGATTGTGTTGATTGAGTGTTTGTGTGTTTGTTTGTTGAGTGAGTGTTTGTCTGTTTCCTTTGTATGAATGCTTCTGATTGAGTTGATTTGCTCTGATGTTTCTGAGTGTTTTGAGTGAGTGTTTGTGTGCTTGCTTTACATGAATGCTTTTGAGTATGTTGATTGAGTGTTTATCTGTTTGATTTCCATGAATGCTTCTGAGTGTACTGACTGAATGCTTCTCTGCTTTCTTTCCATGAATTCTTCTGAGTGTCTTGAAGAGTGCTTGTCTGTTTGTTTTGTGCGAATGCTTCTGGGTTGAGTGAGTGCTTTTGTGCTTGATTTGCATGAATGCTTCTGAGGGTGTTCAGTGAATTTTTTTCCGTTTGCTTTGCACGAATGCTTCTGAGTATGTTGAGTGAGTGTAAGTGTGTTTACTTTCCATGAATACTTCTGAGCGTATTGAATGAGCGTTTCAATGTTTGCATGAATACTTTCGAGTGTGTTGAGTGAGTGTTTGTGTGTTTGTTTTCCATGATTGCTTCTAAGCGTGTTGACTGAGTGTTTTTGTGTTTGCTTGGATGCATGGATGCTTCTGAGTGTGTCGAGTGAGTCTTTGTCTGCTTGCTATGCATGAAAGCTTCTGACTGTGTTGATTAAGTGTTTTTTTTGCTTTGCATGAATGCTTCTGAGTGCGTTGAGTGAGTGTTTGTCTGTTTGCTTTGCATGGATGCTTCTGAGTGTATCGAGTGAGTGTTTGTCTGCTTGATTTGCATGAATGCTTCTGACTGTGTTGAGTAAGTGTTTGTTTGCTTTGCATGAATGCTTCTGAGTGTGTTGAGTGAGATTTTTTCTGTTTGCTCTGCATAAATGCTTGAGTGTGTTGAGTGAGTGTTTGTATGTTTGCATGAATGCTTCTGATTGTGTTGAGTGTCTGTGTGTTTGCTTTGTATAAATGCTTCTAAATGTGTTGAGTGTTTGTTTGCTTTGCATGAATACTACTGAGGGTGTTGAGTGAGTGTCTGAATGTTTGCTTTGCATGAATACTACTGAGGGTGTTGAGTGAGTGTCTGAATGTTTGCTTTCCATGAAGTGTAGTGTATATGTGTTTGCTTTGCATGCATTCTTACAAGTGTCTTAAGTGAGTGAGTGTTTGAATGTTTGCTTTGCATGAATGCTTCTGAGTGTGCTT